CTTCCGATCTGGCTAATCTACATGCCTCCGTCGAAGGAGGCATGTAGTCTAGACACACCCTTGGATTACTCCCTTTTTATCAAGTTAGGAGGAGGAGAGAGGAACAGTTCTCAGCCTAAGCCAGAGAGTCCATTTTGAAAATTGGTTGGTAGTTTTTTGGGGTGCACAACAGGAAGGGTTTATGTGCTAGGTAAAATCAGGCTTTCTTGGTGCTTAGGACAAAAGCTTTGAAATATCCCGGATATTGGGTTTGACTTTGAGACACCGTGATGTTGATATGAGAGGGGCAGGGGCATATTGGGCTAGATCAGGGAACTACATTTTTGTTCGACAAGCACTGTCCCAGTGGAGAGGCTGGTCGTGGATCAAGTAGCTCCGCAGGCTTTCCCTCGCTGCTTTTTAGATTCTCACATTAGTTCTAATTCTGTTCAGTTGTTGAACATGAGATGTGCGAGAGTGTTCCCCAGCTTCGATAGGTCTTGCTCAGTTTTTCATGGGACCTTGTCCCTCCTCTCTTGCAGCTATCAATGGCTTTGGCAGCTCTTAGCAGACTTCAGCTGTTGCTCAGTCTTGATCTTACAAACATCTGCAGAGATTTTTCAGGTTCCTCTCTCTCTGTGCTGACCACTAGTGGTCTGACTGCAGACATCAGTCCTGTACTGTAGCGTAAAGAATGCCTCCACATAGTCATGCTTTTACTGGACTCTGGTGCACAGTAGCATAAGCAGAGGCAATCCAAAGAGGAGAAACACTCCTTATTTTTTCAGTTACCAACAGCTCACTTCATTGCTCTGCAGAGGGCCCTGTGGTCGCAAGCATTTGCGCTGAAAACAGAGAAAGGTGAACTATAAAATAAGTTCACATCAGCGGTACAGATCACAACCATTTGGGTTAATATCAATCATTGAAAGTAGTTCAGTATACAAGTAGTATTGTTAGTGTAGTGTTAGCTACATATCCTGTCCGGGTGGAGAGGCAGAGGCTAGATTGACTGTAACAGATCTGTTAATCACTATACCATTGGCCTGATGTTCAGAGGGTGGACCACTCACGCATCCCAGTGAAATCAGTGGGAGCTATATGTCCTCAGCAGCCTATGACACTAATATGCTGTTACGCTGGATACAGTACCCTTGATGGCAGCATTATACGAACAAAACCACGTTACCCCTTCCACAGCTTTCCCTGGCAGGTAATAGACATCTTTTCAGCCTCTTAACTTCATCCACTGGGCCCTAGCAGATCTCAAGTCATGTTAGCGTCTTTGGATGCCCATTAACAAACCAAAGGCACAGCCCTAGAGTTTTAGAAACACTGACAGCAGCTCTTTTATACAGGGTAGTACCCTTCTACAACACTGCAATTCCTTTGCTCCTGTTACTCAAGTCGAGGAAAGATCCCAAGAATGACTGGATGGCTCAGAGGAGCAGAAGTAGGCTGCAAGAGCTTTTCACTTCCAAGTTGCTGGTTCAAATTTAGCTTCGCCTCAAATTCAGCCTCAAATTACCACCCCCTCTTTGACAGTTCCTTTGAGAAGTAAGTCGGGGAGCTCACCATAATTTTTAGGAGACTGGTGGCCACATCAAGGCAACAGGCGTTGAATAGCATTCTGCTTGGCAGTAGCAGCCAAGTTCCAATGCAACTTGTAGGCACCTCCCCCCCCACACACATGAAAATACAAAGGGTTTATTTATATAGCACAAGAGAGTTTCCCCCTGTCATCACTAGACAGGAGGCACTTAGCACCGCCAGAAAGTGCTGTATGGAGCCTGTCCAGCGTATTGCTAATCTATTCATTGCCTGCATGGCAGTGAGGGTCTGACACACCTAAGGACGGATTTATGAAGAGACACAGGCATGGAAGATTTCCCAGAAGAACACCATCAAGAAGGCCATCAGCCCATGGACATGGGAGGAGGAAGATGGTGACAGTTGTGGACACAGATGATGCTCTGAAACACCAGAGCTGCAATTTATACACATTTGGTGGCCGTACCCCCAGACTAAGGCCAAAAACGTATCACCAAGAAACAGAAAAAAACCTCTTTGAATTAAGAGACGGTCTCAGCCCTGGAGTAAGTGCAACAGAGGAAAGTTGTATCCCAAAAGGGAGCAAAATGAGAACTGCAACAGGCTGTTCATTTAAAGACTCCAGCAAGTGCTCCCCGAGGCAGCACGCATGTTACCGACAGACACAGCATGAGCCCCAGGAACTCCATCTTTAACCAGGAGATGGTGGGTTGGCGGAACTAAATATATGCAGCATGTTGCTTCAGTTTACCGGTAACTAAACCCTCTGTGTTCTCAGCCTCCTTGCTGCTTCTCTTCCTATGGGAATGAAACTCGTGTAATAGGAGCAAATGGGTCATGAGGTGCCATGGAAAAAACGGGCTGCGTTCTATGACAGATGACACTTCCTCCACAGATGTCGCTTTCTTCCCTTGTGCTCTGTGGAATCTTCTCTTCCAGTGCAACCACAGAAAACTGGCCTTTGAGCAGAGGGCTTTGCAAAGGCAGGAGTGAATGTGGACTGGCTACCCTTCCAGTCTTGCCAGAGGGAGGTCTTTCCAGGGAAGTACCGCTGAGCAACCTGTAGCCCTGCCTTCCTCGCTGAGAATGGGAGCAGCTGAAGCAAATTAGCAGGCGTGTCCTGTCCTTTCTGTGGGCTGAATTTTCTGTTTTAGGTGGGGGGAGGAAGGCGAGCGTTATGCATATGGTTAGCCCCCGTGCTACCTTGTCTCTCTGGCCAGTCCTTGCCACCTCTTAGGCTTGAGCATGTTCCTTTTTGGTGCCTCAGTGTTTCTCTGGCCTGATACTGAAGACTGAATCTGGGAGAACGTCTGAGCAAAAGTTCCCACAGATTACAACCCGCACATGCTGCCATGGACATGTGAATCGGCCTTGCTGCGGGGACTGTGGGAACTCTCCCTAACTATGGCCTCTTCCACAACATACCTGTTACCTTCAACACCCTGTTGTTCTTTGAAGGGCTGGGAATGGCCGAGTCTTTGAGTGGGCAGCTCTTGTAGTGAGTGTATCGATCTGCGCCTCTCATTTCCTCTCTTTGATGCTATTGGGGCAGCTGTTAGAGGGGAGCATTGGGAGAACTGCTGCCTCTCCAGGATTCACTCCCGTCCCCATCATTTTTAACCATCAAAGGAAAACGGTTTCATGTCCTCCTATGGATTAGCTTTCCCTGAATCCATGTTTACTGGATTTCTTTAAACCAGCTCGCTGTGTGCTTTCCCTGGTGCGCCCAGAGTTGTTTTACCATTGTCCTGCCTTGCATCACAAAGTGATTGGGAACAGTGCCTCAGTGAGCCGGTTCACAAGGCTGCAGTTAGCTCTAGCTCTTGCTGCTTGTTCTTATTTCCCCTTTAGTGTGTCTTTGGTCAACGACATACATCATTTGTAGGAAGAGGAGATCTTGGCTGGCTTTTTCCATGGGATCCTGGATCCCTGCTCTAAGATTGGGTGGGGATGTTTTTCCTTTCCTGTCCCCATGGGGAATTTATACATGTGCCAAGGATCCTTTTCAAACTCACCTTGCAGAGGGAAGGTAGAATACTGGTCTGTGATCTCTGGCACCTGGAGGGGCACGTTCCCCAGTGCTTATGTAAAAATCTCTCCCCTTTCAGATCTGCCCCCCTCTCTCCTTTGTTACAGGATCACTTATGCAGGTTGTTTTTTGATATGCAGCACGAGCCTCGAGCCCAGCTGGGGTGCTGAGGTGTGAATTGCTGCTTTGGTTATGCATTGCAGAGCCTCATGGGGTTCTGATTGGGAGAGAGTGACGTTCTTTTTTGAAGTGCCTCTTGGCTTCCTGGCTGCCCTTTAAATGCAGGTCTTGTTTGATGTCTGGACAAAGCTCCAGTTCTTCACCTTGTTGTGAATAGCTGCTATTTGTCAGGGGGGGAAGCGCCCCTTAATATCCCCCTCTGGCACAGCTGAGGGCAGCACACTTCCCTGATATCCCCAGGTGAATGACTTTACTGCCTGGATGGGAAGTTGGAGCCTGTGTGCTGACAACACACTTCTCACATCCCTGTAAATATCCCTTCTCACCTTGGTTGGGCAGCAGGTCTCGTTGCTTCGGCACATGCCATCTGCTGGCGTGAGAACCGGCTAACAAGGCTTTTCCTCTATAACTGGACTCTTTGTGGACCCCAGAAGCTCTTGAAAATCCCCCCTAAAATACAAGGAGTTAGTGGTCTGATGGTAATTTTGACAAGATCGGTCCACTCCTACCCCTCCTTCAACTGGGGGTGTGAGTCAGCTCCTGAGTTTACAGAGCACAGTGCTCAGGTGCAGTCTGCATTGTAGTAAAGTACAGGCAGTCCCCGGGTTACATGGATCCGACTTACATCGGATCCCTACTTACAAATGGGGTGAGGCAACCCCGCACTAGCTGCTTCCCCCCAGCAGACCAGGGAGACACGGAGCGGCTTTTCTCAGCAGACACTTCAGCTTGAGAATAAAGGACTGAGGGAAGTGAGGTGTGGGAGAATAAAACTGAGCTCTGGAGAAATGTTTGGCTAGAGTTTCCCCTACAGTATGTACCAGTTCCGACTTATATACAAATTCAACTTAAGAACAAACCTACAGTCCCTATCTTGTACGTAACCCGGGGACTGCCTGTAAAGGTTCTGTTGGTCCCATGGGAAACTGATACCTCTCGAGCTGGACTGGGCTACCCAGAAGGTTTCAGAGGGGCTGGGGGTGGGCATGCCTGGCCTGCTAGGATTTCGGGAATCTGTGCAGGAGAAAAGAGGACCACAAGGAGAGACAGTGAGGAGTCTTGTGGCACCTTGTAGATGAATAGATTCGTTTGGGCATAAGCTTTCATTGGTAAAATCCACTCCTTGGATGCATCTGACAAAGTGGTTTTTACCCACGGAAGATTATGGCCAAATCAATCTGTTAGTGTGTAAGGTGCCCTGGGACTCCCTGTTGTTTTTGCAGATACAGACTAACACAGCTGCCCCTCTGAGACTTGGCACCAGGAGAGAGTGAGTGTTCTCCCTGTGCCCAAGGATGCCAGCTCCTAGATCCTTTATGTAGCAGAGAGGCCCTGCAGGCCTTCACCCAGCTACTGGCTGTCAGCTGTTCTTTGATGTAGCTGCAGAGCCGTGTTTCTCATACGCGTTTTGCGATGGAGTTACCTCGCTGGCAGTAAAAACCCCTTTGGCTTTCTTAATGATCCTGTCTGCTTGAAAGTCATATTCATGTGACTTGCCATAACGAGGTGTCTGGCTTGCAGCTGCAGAGCAAATGTGCCTGTGGGGGAGCGCTTGGCACACTTCCCATCTTCTTGAGAGCCGCGTGGCATCATAGATTTGTATCCAACTTGTCTGGTCACCTCTCTGGCAACTGGCTGTAAAATGAGGGAGCTTTTGATCTGTCTCTTTTCCCACCCAGCTCTGCCCATGCTCCCTTTTTCTGGCTTCTAGAGTGGGACTCTGTTACGGTCCAGAGAAAGGCTTCCTCTTTCCTTGAGACTCTGAAATATCTCAGGGTTGGATTACCCAATAGGCAGACTAAGCATGTGCTTAGGGCCCCAGCAAAGCAGGGGCACCAAAATAAAGAGATTTTACCGTACAGTATTGTTTTTATTTTGAATTGAATATGGGGGGGGGCACCATAATCTTTTCAATGCTTAGGGCCTCTAAAGGTCTTAATCTGGCCCTGAATGTCATATATGGATGTCGAAAATACCCTGGCTGCAGTGGTTTCATTAAAACCTGGTTCGTGCCAGCAGAGAGTGAAACTGTGGCTGGAGCAGAAAAGTCTGAAGCAAAGGAAGGATCTTGGGATCAAATCTTTTCAGCACATGAGATGAGATGCGCTTCTGGAATAAAGTGATGGGACGTGTTCAGTAGAGATATGACTTGAAGGTGCAAATGAGGGAAAGGGCATCCAAAGAATTAAGTGGCCTGTTCCTGTTTCCAGCATGTTATGACTCCTTGTGTCACCATAAATACGCAGACTGCAACTTGACGATAAGAATGAACACTTATTACCACAGTGCCCAGCCCAGCCAGGCATTATATGAACACAGGGCTGTGCTGAAGCTGTTGTTGGATATTGTTATAGAAAGTTATTTTTCTGGAGGCTCTTAACACCAGCTGTTTCCAAACTGCTCCCCCTGGAAGTTTTACATGCCAACACTGTGTCTAAGGGTGGTCCTTGATTGTGGAAAGGGGTTACTTATGCTTTGTCTACACTACTGAGGGCCATTGACCCAAGTTATACAACTTCAACTATGTGAAAAACATAGCTAAAGTCAACTTTCTTGGATCTGCTTACTGGGGTGCCTTCACAGCGGTACATCGACAGTTGATGCTCTCCCTTCAATTTTACTTATTCTTCTTGTTTTGGAGGAGTATTGGAGTCATCATAGAACACTGGAGCTGGAAGATCCTCAAGTCTAGTCCCCTGCCCTCGCTGCAGGACCAAGCACCGTCTAGACCATCCCTGATAAATGTCTGTCTAATGTGCTCTTAAATATCTCCAGTGCTGCAGACTCTGCAACCTCCCGAGGCAATTTTTTCCAGTGTTTAACCACCCTGACAGTAAGGAAGTCTTATCTAATGTCCAGCCTAAACATTCCTTGCTGCAGTTTAAGCCCATTGCTTCTTGTCCTATCCTCAGAGGCTAAGGAGAACAATTCCTCTCCCCTACTCCCTTGTGATACCGTTTAGATGCTTGAAAACTGATGTCATGTCTTTTCCTTTCCAAACTAAACAAGCCCAATTCTTTCAGTCTTCCCTCATATCTCATGTTCTCTAGACCTTTAATCATTCTTGTTGTTCTTCCCTGGACCTTCTCCAATTTCTCCACATCTTTCTTGAAATGTGGTGCCCAGAACTGGACACAGTACTCCATTTGGGGCCTAATCAGCACAGAGTAGAGTGGGAGAATGACTTCTGGTGTCTTGCTCACAACACTCCTCTTATGCAGCCCAGAATCATGTTTGCTTTTTTTTGCAACAGCGTCACACTGTTTCCTCATATTTAGCTTGTGGTAAACGGGGGAGAGCTCAGCACACAATTTATTATGCCTATAGATGCGATGAATCAACCCCTGCTGGATCGATCACCGCCAGTTGATCCAGCCTGTAATGAAGCCATACCCTTAGATTGAAACACTCAGGTCCTCTTTGATTAGGGCTCCTAGGTGCTACCATAAAACACCTAATACAATGAGATCCTGCTCCATGACTAGGGCTACTAGGGGCTCTGGTAATACAAAGACCAAGACCTGGACGGATTCTTTTGGAAGCTTCATGCTTTCCCCGTTTTCCCTTTTCTTTGGGGTTCAGCCATCAAGACCGTGAATGCAGACTGGCAAAAGGCAGTAGCATGCACTTTGAGAGCTCCTTTCTGGTAGGAGGTTGCCTGGGCATGACATCCGCGAAGGACTCGAGTCAGAGAGAAGGATGTTAAGAAGCGGGTAATGACTAATCATGTAGTTGATACAGTTTGTATCGACTACACAATTAGTTGATAAGGGGCCCTGCTGCAGCTCTGCAGTTTAAATGTAGTAGGAGCCGGACACGCAGGCAGCCTGGCTCTTCCTACCTTTAAACTGCAGAGCCACAGCAGGAGTAAGTCTGGGACCCCGCATGAGCACCGGTTCCTGCTTTCCTCCCCCCTTGCTGCAGAAATGAGTAGTGACTCGAGTACTTGACTAATTGCTTACATCCCTAGTCAGAGCATTGTAGAACTAATGAGTTACAGTAATTATGTGGAGAATGTACATAGTGCGTCCCAGGCATAAAGAGTAGTGTTTGTTGTTGCCCCTTAACGTATTATGTTCAGGGGCCTTGTTCTCCTTCTGTTGTCTCCCTTAGGAGTGATGTGCTGTAGTCTGAGGCCAGTCAGAGTCCAGGATCGCTATCCCTGATTTGGTGAGATCTTTTTCGGTCTGTGTAGCAGCCAATAGCCTTTTTAGGAAGGCACCAAAATCCAGAAAGCTAACAGGAAGAAAAACAAACAAAAATAAGAATATCGAATGCTGCTTTTACTAGTAGGTGTCAACAAGCCTGCTGGAGCTGAAAAGACTTCTGCACACCTACTGGGAAGGAATACCTTTGTGGTGCCCTTTTGTCAACAAAAGGGTGTGTCCACAATGTGCTGTCCCTTTAAGAACCACGCACATGGGCTCTCCTCTTGGCTGACTTCAGCTAAGTGCTAGGAAAGATATTGCACCCTTTGGTTTTCCTTTTGACACAACGCCCTTGACTGCTGGACCAAACTCCCAACTCCCTAAAGTATGCTGTGGGAGAGGAGAATTAATTCCCTCAATCTGGCCCAACCCAGCTAGCCAGGATGGCACTGTGTGTTCAGGTAGCTGGCGTCCTCCTTTTAACCAGAGGGAGGGGTTTTAACAAGGGATGTAAAGGGTTAACCAGTTACCCAGTAAACCTTTGTCTTACTGGCATGTTTACCAGGGTAACCAGTTAACATGGCTGGGACAGAGCAGCCCCCCACCTGCAGTGCGGTGCAGCGAGCCCTGCCCAGCCCAGCTAGGCCGGAGCAGCCCATGATGCGGCAGGTCCAGCTGGTGCAGCTTAACTGGTTAACTTTTAAAGTGGGATTTTACATCCTTAATTTTAATCCATTCCCCTTCTACAGTCAGTCTCCCCAAGCCAAGTTCGGCGCATGGATTTTCACTTGTCTTGCCCTCTTCTCTGTCTAGATGGCACTGTTGAGCTTTATAACCTCACTGAGCCCCTGTGAACTAGTGGACTATGGGACCAGTTGCCTCCCTTAAGGTTAAACTGCTCCATTGAAGCTGTTTGTTTTTGTTTGAAAGGCCAAACAAGCAGTTTGAGGCTGCTCTGTCAGCTGCAGCTACTGGTGCAAAGCCTTGTGCTGCACGATAGGAGAAATGGGGCAGTTGTACATCTCAGTCACACTCCCTTGACACGCTCAGGGGAACTCTGGCCTTCTTGCAGCGCAGCTCTGGATGAAAGCAAAGAAGCTGCAATGCTGGATTCCATAAATATTCCTTAAATACGTTAGTACTGGAAGGTTTACCCAGTGTTGCTTGGGTCCTAACTCACTGTTTGTTTTTTTCATTGAATCCTTGCTCTGGGGTGGGGCTGGAGCTGGGGGGCTCAGCATGCAGGCTGCCCCAGGGAGAGAGGACAGCCCCATTTCTCTCTCACCACAGCAGCTTGGGGTCAGATGAGAATTGCTTCTCCATGGCCACTGCAGCTCCAGCGAACACAGCATGTCCCCTGGCTGGGGCAGGTCCACATTTGTCTGCCCCCTGCGCTCCCCAGGCAAAGTGAGGAATGCAGCAAACTGCGCAATTCTCCCTTGCTCCCTGCCAATGGGGAACAGCCATCAATGTTCCCATATGAATTGCGGGGGGGGGGGTTCAGCCCCCCCTTTTCTCTAGAGTGTTCCTGGGAGATGGGAGGCTGGAGACTGGGGCAGTCCTGGACATTGTGGGGTTGGCACACCCAGCCAGCTCCTTTCACCTGCCTAGAGATTCTGTCTCCTTTCTGTGTGTTTTTATGAGAAGCAGGCACATCCCATTTTCCTGGCACAACCAAGTCCTGACCTTGCTATAAGTTATAAAAGGAAGCTGTCTACCAAATTTGGTGTTGCTAGCTCTTACCCTTTAGAAGGAATTCATAGACAGACAGATGGACAAACTCTCTCAAAAATATAGTAGATGAAATGAAACTTAGCCAATGACATAATATTGCTTCCTGGGGAGGTGCAGATCAAATAGGGTTTCTTTAATTATGGCTCAGGAGTGGAACCCCCGGAGGTACTCAGGAAGTTATAGGTTACTGGTCTAACTGGCTAGCTATTTTTGTTTTTAAATCAAAAGGGTAGGATTTTTGAGTTAAAACGTGGGCTGCCTGTGTACTGTGGCTTCTCCTGTCTTTTGCACCATGCTAAATCAATGTCTTGATCTATGAAGCGCAGGGTGATGGCAGTACATTCTCAGTGTTCAGGGTCATAATCCCAAACTGCAAAACACTGCCATGATGCACAGACTTCCTTGCTTTTAACTTATCAGCTAGGATATTCTGCTGCTTCCTCCCAGGAGCTGTTCAAAATAGTCTGTCAATGAGTGTCTCAAACTCAGTCCTGCATCCGCTCTCCTCAGACTCGAGTTCTCTAGCAGTTTCTGCAAAGCCGCCACAGATTTGGGACTTTCATTACCCAAGCCTAGATTCTTAGGGAGATTTTCATCTGGGGGAGGAGTGTCCAATTTTTTTTGCAGCCAGCTGATCCAGCAGCCCTTGGATTAAAGGGAACTTTTCACCCAGGAATGTCACTTGTTCTGCTGAGCAGCCGTTCTGATCTTGCACCTGTGTCCGGAGACAATGAAACTTGCCCTTCTCCCTTGCCTCCTTCCTGGGCCAGGGTTTATTCTTTGACTAGTTACATTTCTTTTTGTGGTGGTGTGGAGTCTATAGGGTGCAGACAGCTGGTCCATTATTATCCATGTCTTTTTTTTTTTTTAAACTAACAATTGTTTTTGGTATTGAACAGGGACTCTTTCTCTAGTTCCTTTCCCAGACTCACGTAAGCAGTAATGGCCATGTGTTGAGCGGAGCTCGGTTTGGAAGCTGACTTTGATTGGGTTCTAGCCATCATTACCGGTTCAGTTTTCTTTGCCAGCAAAGCTGGCCACAAGACAAATTGTATATCGTGGAGTGGAGTCAATGGTGAGCTGTATTGGAATTCTAATTAGAGTGAACTGAAGAGAAATCTAGTGGGGAGTTTGCCTTCCCAAGAGCTTGTTACTTCCTTACTGAGGTATTGCAGCTGGAAGGACGGATGGTTGGTGTAGAATAGACGCAGCTGTGTCACTAAAGTCAGGCAGGTTGTTTAATGTATGACTGGAAGGCACTCAGATGCTACATGGATGAGCATGGGATAAAAACATGTGTTGAAGCAAGTGCAGTTCTAGACTTTAGGATTTAATTATTGTTTCTATTTTTCAGAATGTTATTTTAGAAGACAAACTCTGTGGCTGAAGGGAAGCCTATAGATTGCTAAATAGGGGATTTGCAGGATTCCTGGTTGACTGGTGCATTCTAGAAGTATTTCCTATTAGCACAGAATAAATTCCTTAGCACTTTTCCTTCCACCATGTGTTTCCAGTTTCCTTTTATTGAACTTATGCTACAGCCTTCAGTCATCGCTACATGTAGTTCTGCTCCAGCAAAGGCATAAAGCTGTCTTCCGGACAATAGGTGAGAAGAAATAGCATGAGCTCACCACACAACAAATTCAGAGAGTTATTTTATATAAGGCTGGGGGACACTTCATGTGGTTTTGAATGGGTAGCTTGTTTATTATTGAAATCTTGGCCGGATACACCTGTAAACTTATCAAGGAACTTGATAGGAGGCCTTCGGTAGCAGTAATGGCCGGATGCCAGACCTTTCATTTATGAGTGGTTGGTTCACGTCCTGCCTGCTTCATTTGACCTTTTGTGAAATAAGTTGGTGGATCCTAATCGTGTTTCTAGTGAATAGATTTCCACTTTGCAAAAGAAGTCATGGCAGATAATACACTGGAGGAAAGCACCTGCCTCAATGTATCTCCAGGTTTACAGATGTTAAGGCCTTCTCCCTGACTTCATCTTGGTAGTGACACACCAAGAGTGGAAAGCCAGAATGTCAGTGCTTCAGGGCGGGTGGTGGCTTTTATATTTGGCCACTAGTAGAGAGCTCACCTGGCTTCCTGCTTCACTCTGCCCTTCCAGAGCTCTATGGGCACACATTTATTTGGGTGGGATTTCCTTTGTGTCGGGGGAGTTTGACCACGCATACATGCTGGCAGCACGTAGCTGTAGCTGTAGCCTGTTAGTTTTTCCTTTTATTCACCTTAAATTGCCTCCAATTCCCAGACAACCATAATCCAGCTACGTTTGGGCTTTGTCTTCTAATTTTTCCTGGCAGCTGTCGTAATGGCTTTTTACAACATCACCTGCACTTTCTTTCCATCCTCCTGATGTGGCGGTGCATTGAACAGAGGAGATGGGTTACGCTGGGGGGACTTTGTTTCCTTTCAGTGCAGTGGCTGATGGAGTGCTCGTGTTCCTACCAGGGGAATTGCATCCAGAGGAGATGTTGTCATCACTTAAGTAGTTGTACAAATCCTGTTACTGTTTGACCTCTTCAAACTGAGCCTAAACAAAAACGTCTGATTGGATTGTCTCTTTGGCTGGCCTCCCAACAGTCAGAAAAGTCAGCTGCTTCTCCCAACAGTGAGATGTTGGAAATCCAAGAGACACCCCTCTGCCCCCTCCAAAGAGTCACATTCTTCACCTTGAGGGGGGTGATTCATGGGCCTCATGTTAGAGTTACTAACTTGCTCTCCAGCCTTGAGTATTTAAAACAGGCTCTGACTCCTGACCCATCCGAGCACTTGGCTTCCGGAAGCAGAGTTGGACAACAACCTGCTTTTGTTTTGTTCGTACTTCCTTCCCTTCCTCCGTCTGCTCTGCCCTTCTTTTTCCTGACCTTTTTCAAACCCTGTCAGCTCTGCGCTGTCCCTGCAAGAGACCTCAGAAATGGCTGCTCAGTGAGCCATGCGTTTATATCACGATGCTGTTCTTGCGTACAGGGAAAGCACTTGGTCAGTGTCCCCCGTGATGTGGAGGGGGTTGGAGCAGTGATTTGTAACCTGGCTCCCAGCACTGCTGATGGAATTGCAGTCTGGCAGGAAGAGCTGCCGGTGAAAGAAGCATGCAAGGTTTGCTTTCTTCCCCTACCCTGTTATCACTTCTTGGATCACTTTCCAAGGCTGCCGCTTTCTCAGGCTAGTTTTGTCATTAGGTGGCACTGGAGTCAACACCAGGCTCATAGCAGCCGGTTCACACTTAAAAAGCTTTGCGGATCTTTCAGCAGTGAACCCTCCCAGCAGATGAGGAGGTGCTTTTCCATTCTCTTGCATTCTTGGTCAATTTCAGGTGGGGATTGATTAGACTTGGTTAGGCCTTTGTGTAATGCTTCCCCTGTCCTGCTCCTATCCCAGACTGAATCTGAGATGCCATTTGTAAGTGTAAATGCCCAGGGTGACCACCCAGCTCACTGATTCCTGATGGCCCACAAATACATTAGTAGGACTCAGCAAGAGTCCTTGCTATCCTGCCACGGGATTTCCTGCCTGAGGAATTGTACCCGTTGCTTGCTGAATAGGTTTCCCGCATCTCGCTCTTAGGTACTTCAGTGTTCCCTCTAACTATTTTCATTGATGTACAGGATAAATTTTATGTGCACCGAGGAATGTGCAGATGTGCACCACCAGTAGAAACACTGGCTGCGGGTGCTCTTCTGTTCAGCTGGGAGACACCTAAATCTCTCCTGGGTGGCTGCCCAAGTGCTCTGCTTACAGAGATCACTGGGCAACATCTCTTGGCATATTTGGGCTGGTGCCTCATCTGAACTTCCTGGCAGCAGGAGGAAGCTTGACATCATATCCTTGTAGCTGGACCAGAGGACAGTGGGGTGGTGAGATGAACTTCACAACTCAGGAATCACCCTGACAGCTTGGTGACCTGCAGATCCTAACACATGGCCTAGCATTAGTTGGCTGGATAGATTTGTGCTAATAGGGAGATGCACTGAATCAGGACTCAGCTTAGACCCTTAGATACCTAATAGGGATGTAATAGTGTAGTCGATTAACTGATAAGCAAAAGCTTATAGGTTAATCCTATAGACTACATGCATTTGCCAGTACATTTTTTGCAGGCTTGCCAGCAGCCCGGTTCAGTTCTAGCTCCAGCTGGGTCCAGAACCTACCCCTGCTGAGCTCTGCATTTAAAGTGTATTAGGAGTTAAGTGGGCAGGCCAACTGGCTCACTTCCATAGCTTGCGCTGGTTCCAGGAGCTTAGACCCCCCCACTTAGACAGGGGCTGCTGCCACCCCATGCTGCTGCTTCTTTATCACAGGCAGCAGCACTGGGCAACAGGCAGCTGGTCCGGAAGGGGAGCTGTTTTTTAAACTGCCTCCCCTCTTGGACCAGTTCCTGCCTGGCACTCTACACTGCTGCCTCTGATACAGTGGCTGCAGGCCCTGCCCCCGGGGACTATAGAATAGTTGACTGATA